ACACATTCATTCACACATTCATTCACACACAATCATGCTCACACACAAATTCCCTCACAAGAAAGCTCATGGAGAGTGGCATGCTCAAATGCGCTCACATTCTAACACAAATACACGCAAACATGCTCCCACATTTGCATGCACATTTGAACCTGCTCACAAATTCGTTCACATGCAACCATGCCCACATATTCAAACACACTCATAAATTCACTCAAAAACTAGGAAAAGCACATTAACATCCTCACACAGGCTCACACATACACATAAGCATGATCGCATCTTCACTACCACTTGAGCATTCTCACATACATGAGAACACACATTAAGTCACACACAAACATGCTCACACACAAATTCTCTCACAAATGTACTCACTTTAGCACCTTCACACACACAAACATGCTCACATATTCACTCACAAACACACATAAAGGACCACACATTAACACACAAACATCCCCACATCTATATACACATATAAACTAGTTCACACAATCACTCACACACAAACATGCTCACACACAAACATGCTCACACACAAATTCCCTCAGAAATGTCCTCATACACTTTAACACATTCACACATACATGCTCACACATACACTCAGAAGCAAGCTCATGTACAGTACCACACATTAACACACAAACATATCCTCACGTCTGCATACACATATGAACTGGCTCACACATTCACTCACACACAAACATGCTCACACACACAAACACCCTCACAAATGTACTCACACACTTTAACACATTCACATCCACAAACATGCTCACACATTCACTCACAAGCAAGCTTATGTACAGTGGCATGCTCAAATGCGCTCACATACTAACACAAATACACACAAACATGCTCCCACATTTACATGCACATTTGAACCTGCTCACAAATTCGTTCACATGCAACCATGCCCACATATGCAAACACACTCACAAATTCACTCAAAAACATGGAGAAACACATTAACATCCTCACACACACATGCTCACACATACACATATAAACACGATCGCATCTTCACTAACACATGAGCTTTCTCACATACATGAGAACACATTCACTCACACATTCACTCACACACAAACATGCTCACACACAAATTCCCTCACAAGTGTACTCACACACTTTAACACATTCCTATGCACAAATATACTCACATATTCATTCACAAACACACATACAGGACCACAAATTAACACACAAAGGTTTCCCCACATCTACATACACATATAAACTGGCTCACACATTCACTCACACACAGACATGCTTACACACAAATTCCCTCACAAATGTACTCACACACTTTAACACATTCACATGCACAAACATGCTCACACATTCACTCACAAGCAAGGTCACCTTCAGTGGCATGCTCAAATTCACTCATGTATTAACACAAATACACGCAAATATGCTTGCACATTTGAACCTGCTCACAAAGTCGTTCACGTGCCGCCATGCCCACATATGCAAACACACTCAAAAATTCACTCCAAAACCTGGAGAGATACATTAATATCCTCACACACACACGCTCACACATACACACATAAACATGATCGCATCTTCACTAACACATGAGCATTCTCACATACATGAGAACACACATTTGCTCACACATACAATAGGTGCATATATATAAACATGCTAACATTTACTTACATACTTGAACACACTTGTACAACTGAACACCTAAGACAATACACAAACATGCTCACACACTCATATCAACACAACTTGTTCACACACATGACCATGCTTGTGTGCTCATTCACATATGGACATGCTCACCACTCCACTAACGTGGACAGACTCACACAGACACACATATTCACTCCCACACACACACATGCAAATTAATGTACACACTCACGCATTTGACATAAACTGGCCTTTTCACACATTCATTTACCCAGACACATGTTCACACGTGCACTGGCCCCCAAACACACACACACACACATTCACACATTCACCCACACTTCCACATGAATACACTCATGTTTATGGACATGTGCATATGTTCAGTTCCACAAAAACACACTCAAACAGTCACACACAGGCATGCTCATATGAACTCGTACATACGTGATCACACATTCACTCCCACACAGACAAGCTCACAGACATGTGTGGCCACACCCTCACTTGCACATGAACACTCATATGTTCACTCCCACAGTATAGCACACCTACACACATGCACATACATTATGCCACACAACACACTCAAGCACACAAACATGCTCACACATTCACTCCCACACAGACATGCTCACATAAATACTTCCACACAGTGCACACAATCACATACACACTCACATGCACTCACACAAGCATGGTCACATATTTGCTGGCACTCACATGATCATACACAGACCCCGTTGAGTCTTGGCTCTTCTTCCGGGCTCCTTGTTTTTACGTGTTTATCAGGAAAACATTTCAAAAGAGTATTTCTGCCCCGTATTTTCTCTTTATTTTGCCTTGACCCCTCTAAGCGCTTGACCTGCATTAACTATGAAATCAGTGCTAGGAAACTAAGAATCAGAGAGGTTAGGTGTCACCCGAGGTCACACAGCTAACAAGTGTCAAAGCGGGTTCAAACCCAGGCAGTCTGGCTCCTGAGCTGATACTCTTTAGCCTTTATTCTAGTCTTCATGTAATAGTACCTTCCTGTACCACAGGTGCCCCCGTGATTGTGAAAGTCTCTATCTACGTCTCCAGTATTGAACAGATCTCAGAAGTGAACATGGTAAGTTGGGGACAGGGCACATGGAACAAGGAGCGTCAGCGTGAAAGACTTATGAAGGTTTTAAAAGATAATATAGAACACTGGCTTTATGTCTTAGGGTAGGTAAGACTTTCTTTTAAAAACGCAGAAACCACAAAAATAAACACTGATGACTTCAATTATGTTAAAGTTCTGTTTAGCCAAGCACCTGGAACTTCTGTTTGGCAAAACAAACAAAATCTCTATAACAATAAAACCACAATGAGAACCCATTATATACTCACCAGATTGGTGAAAATTTCAACTCAGTCAATACCCATAGTGAAAGTTATTGGCAATATTCTATTTCTTAACCTGGATTTTAATTACTTAAGGTTCACTTTATGATTCTTTAATCATCCATATATTGCATGCACTTATCTATAGTGATGATATATTTCACACCTTTGCATACACAGATGCACGCACGCGCGCGCGCGTGTGTGTGTGTGTGTGTGCGCGTGCACGCACACACAGAGAACAGAGATCTGGACAACCTAACTTATACCTGGAATTACCCTTCCCTTCCCAGGACTACACAATCACGATGTTCTTTCATCAGACCTGGAAAGATTCCCGCTTAGCATACTATGAGACCAACCTGAACTTGACCCTGGACTATCGGATGCATGAGAAGCTGTGGGTCCCTGACTGCTACTTTCTGAATAGCAAGGATGCTTTTGTGCACGATGTGACGGTGGAAAATCGTGTGTTTCAGCTTCACCCAGATGGAACAGTACGGTATGGCATGAGGTGAGTCTCCCTGGAAACTAGGGGCGCCCCAGCAGGCTTCCTTCTTCCTACTGAATATCCTACAGATGCACTCTAAGGGACACACAGAGGAGCCCTGCGCACCTACATTCTACATAGAATCTGGAGCCTCAGCCGCTTCAGTGTAGCACAGTTTTCTCTTGCCGGCCTCGCTGTATCTTCATGAAGCACAAGTCCCATTCCTGTCTTCTCCACCTTCTATTTCCTCAAGAACTCTTCCCATTCTGACACCCTGCAATTATCTGGCCTGCCACACATCTTTTCTTTAAGTCCTGAGAGGTCTTTTGGTTTCTTTACCACATACAAATTCCCTGCCTCCTCTCTACACGTGGGTCAGTCCTTGGGGGGTAACTCTTCCCTTCCCACCCCTGCAGTTTCCTCAGGAATGGTGTCTTGCCTGGGTTTGACTCACTTTCTTCTTTTTTTGCTTTCCTTTGAAGAATCACTACCACAGCAGCTTGCTCCCTGGATCTGCGTAAATTCCCCATGGATAAGCAGACCTGCAACCTGGAGGTGGAGAGCTGTACGTATGCTCCCATGATTCCTTTCTCTCTACCTGCAGCTGTGGAGATCAGGAAACCAGAGGTGGAATTGACATGAGGCGGACAGCATATTTCCTCTACTTTCTCTTCCATAAATAGACAGATGTTAGAGATGGATAGATAGATGGTTGATGGATAAATAAATGATAGAAACAAAGAAAGAAATACAGATGATACAAAGATACATGCATATATGTGGCATCAGGATCACTTGGCCTTTGGGGTATAAATACTCCTCCTGGGGTATAAATACTCCTCTTATTACTGAGAAATCGTGCACAAGCTAGTGTCTAGAGCTATAGAATGTCTTTGCTTTAAACATCCATATATTTCATGGACTCATCTACAGTGGTGAAATATTTCATACCTTTGCATACACAGTTGTTTGCAAAGAAACGCCAAAGTGAGATTTCTCTTAAGTATACACTCTTCACCATGCTCAACCTCAGCAAATCACAAAGGAGCCCCAAAATGTGCCAGTCCTCGGGGTTTTTGCTCTCGTGTGATATCTGCAAGTGCCTACTTTCTGAAACTGACTCTGTTTCTCTCCCTTCCCAGATGGCTACACGGTGGAAGACATCTTATTATTCTGGGAAGACAAGGAGGAGGCTGTGTACATGACTGAAGAGCTGCAAATCCCTCAGTTCTCTTTACTGGGGAAGAAGATTACTAGCAAAGAGGTGTATTTCTACACAGGTGGGTCTCACCCCATTCTTTTCTGTCTCGTTTCCCCTTTGCACTACTGTAAACGCCTAGTGGCCTCCACCTGGGACCTCTCCACCCTCTGCTGCCTTCCTTCCCCTGTGCCACTGGTTCTGGACACATCTCAGGTCCTTTAATAAGGCCCCAATGGCGTGCCTTCTGCCAGTGTGGAATGGATGTGGAAGCACTTGGCCAGGTCCACACCACACTGCAATTGTAAAGGACTCACACTTCTCTCAGGGCTGGCCTCTCACCCTCATCTGTTTGCAGCTTGGAAACATCTCTTGTCTCTCCCATTCCAAAACTTCAGCTAACATGGAGCAGGCAAGAAAGAAAGGGAGAGGGAGCAGACTTGCCACACCACATGGGCCTACTGAGATAAGCCACTGTCACCGGCCTGCTAGTGCAGCAGACAGAACCAGATTCATGGCTTCCCCAGGCTGGATGCCTCCAGATGGAATGAGAGGCTGAGCTGCCATCACTCTGCCCTCTTCTTCCTTCCCGTACCTTTTCTCCCTGTGAATCCCCTCAACCCTGCCGTCCTGACTCCAGTGTGTCTCCTCGCCAGGTACCTACATGCGCCTGATACTGAAGTTCCAGGTGCAGAGGGAAATCACCAGCTACCTTTTGCGGGTGTACTGGCCTACTGTCCTCACCACAGTTCTCTCCTGGATGTCGTTTTGGATGAACTACCAGTCCTCGGCTGCCAGGGTGACAGTTGGTGAGTCCCGTCTCCATCCCAGGGAGAAACTTGCCCAGAACTTGCTCAGAAACAAAAAATTGAGAGTAAAGACCGGGGGGTGCCTGGGGCAGTGTGAGACTACACAGGCAAGAAAACAAGGATTTTTCCAACAGGCGTTTGTACAGAGGTTCAATCAATCCCCAGTAGAGGCACAGGTGTGAAAAAAACATCAGGGCTGGGATCTTGGCCCAAAGTACCAAAATTCAGTATTTTTGAAACCATAAGCAAATGGACACGTCGTAAATTTAGATCAGAGGTGCAATACAACGCACATGGATTTGCCCTCGAGGAACCTCTAGTGGGATGTGGAGAACAGCTGGATTAAAGACATAGGGACCCTAAAAGGTGGAAGATCATAGAGTGCCTAGGGCAGGAGTTGGGGAGGCCAGTGGGTCCCCGGTTCAGATCTGGCTTCCCCTTCACCCGCCTCTGGGCTGACTCTCCCACATTCTCCCTTAGGAGCGCATTCTGGACTCAACCTTTATATATGTGCACTATTTTAGGGTTCACAAAACTTTCTGAAGAACTAAAGGATGGCGAAAGGAGAGAGGGCCATCACAGTGCAAGGTGGGGCTAAAGGCGTAAACTGCTAGCAGTGTGAAGTCACTGAATCATTGATGCACAGGCTGAGTTTAAAGGTGGAGGAAAAGGGACAAAGAGAGCACTTTCGCCAAGGCCCCAGGCCTAGAGGGCTGAAGATCTTTGCGGAGGGTCCTTCTCACCCCTAGAGGCGACTAACCCTGTGTTGTGCTGTTTACAGGCCTGACTGCAATGCTCATCCTGACCAGCATCGACTCAAGCACACGGGAAAAGCTCCCTCACATTTCCTATGTGAAGGCTGTTGATGTCTATATCCTTGTGTGCTTGTTCTTCGTGTTCCTGTCCTTGCTGGAGTATGTCTACATCAACTATTTTTTCTACACCCCAGAACCTCAGCGCCTCCTCAGGCAACGACGCCAACGCCGGATCCACCGGGTCCCCCGGAGAGTCGTTGCTCCCTACCGCTACCAGGAAGTGGTGGTAGAACACGCGCAGGTTTGACTTTTTGACTGACAGTCAGCTTTCCTCCCAGCACCTCTTGAGTCCAGGTTTAGCGCTTTTGATCCTTCCGCATTCCTGAGCTTTTGAAATCCCCCCCACACAACACACGCAGAGCGCGCGCGCGCACACACACACACACACACACACACACACCTGTGCAAAACAAATAACAAAGAAGTAGGACTGTTTATCATGACTCCTTTATAGATAGATGATCATGGTACAAGGTCACAAAGCAAGTGTCAAAGCTAAATTTCTCCAAAACTTTCCACCAAATCTGGTTCACTTTGCATGCCTCCAGGGCACACAGTGAAGCTGGAAAGGGAGATGGGCATAGGCTGACAGGAAGCCAGACACTGGAAAGGCTGGTCTGCCTACTCCTTCCCTGGCACGTCAAATTCCCAAGGCAATGCTGAGGCTTTTTCTCTGGGCAGCACGTTCATGGCCAGCAAGCTCCCTCCCTCTCAGAGATCCCAACCCTGCCTGCCTTAGTAGGTCTCTGTCCACCACGCAGAGCTCCTGAGAGAGCAGCTGCCTCCAGAGAGACACCAGCCTGGCAGCCGCCATGTCCTTTTCTTGCATGCTAACAACCTCTCAGCCCTGTTCCTCGACTGCCCCTGCCCAGCACTAGAGACCGAGATGAAATGGCGGTATCTGTTCAAGAGATCAGCAGGGACATTGCAAGCGCTAATGAGGAAAGCCCCTTCCCGCCCCCGCCCCCGTCCCCCTTCCCCTAGTGTATGTCCATCTAGGAGACATGAAACTGATAGCCTGTCCATTATCTTCTCAAAGGATGGAGTGGCTAACGTGGAAGATGGAATCAGCTCTCCTCCTACTGCCCCAGCACAGGCTCCCCTGGCAAGCCCGGAAAGCCTCGGTTCTCTGGCGTCCACCTCCGAGGAGGCCAAACTGGCCACCTCAGAAAGCCTCAGCTCACTCAGTTCTCTCTCAGGCCAGGCCCAGCTGGCCACTGGAGAAAGCCTGAGCGATCTCCCCTCCACCTCAGAGCAGGCCCAGCCTAGCAATGTGCTTCACCCTAGCGGTGGCCAGGCCAATGAGAGAGTCATTCCTACCGAAATCCGCCACCGTGCCGAGGTCCATGTCCATGCTGAGGTCTGTATCGTTGAAGACTCCGAAGACAAGAGCCACGGCCATGGTCAGAGAGGTGTGCAGGAAGCAGGCGGGAATCGTAATGGTGACAATAACGAGCTCCGCCGCCGACTTGACCCTGAGGAGCAAGTCAGGCGGGAACCTGGCAACGCTTTGGCTCTTCGTGATAATGAGGAGGGTGGTAGCCAGGAGGGCAGTGGCTCAGACTCTGAGGAGAGTTCCCCTGCAAGCCCTGGGTTCTCCCTCTCTGACATTTTCTGCGCCGATCTCTTTAGCCCTGACATGGTTCCTGTTATTGACAGGTGGTGCCGGTTCCTCTTCCCTCTTGCCTTTGGGCTGTTCAACATTGCTTACTGGACGTACCACCTCTATTAGACTTGCAGGGTCCCAGAGAAGCAGGGACACTATACTGTGCTCCTGTCATATTTTCCTCTGGGTTTATTTTTCCCTACTTCTTTTGTTCATTTTATTTGATGGTTATTCTGGCTGGAAAGGAAGGAATTGAGAAAGAGTTGAAGGGAAATAGCCCATGGATTTCCTTTCCTGCTAGAAGACTCTCACCTTTTCAAATACTTTTTTTGTTTTCTGTTTTTTGGGGTTTTTTTGAGTTGGAATCTCACTCTGTGGCCCAGGCTGGAGTGCAGTGGCATGACTATCACAGCCTCGACCTACTGGGCTCAGGCAATCCTTCTGCCTCAGCCTTCCAAGTAGCTGGAACCACAGATGTGCACCACCATGCCCGACTGATTTTTTATTTATCGTAGAGATGAGGCCTTGCCAAGATGCCCAGCCTGGTATCGAACTCCTGGGCTCAGGCAGTCCTCTTGCCTCTGCCTCCCAAAGTTCTGGGATCACAGGCATGAACCACTGTCCCCAGCTCAAAGACTTCTTACAGCTGACAAATGTAGAAAAGTCCCTGGAGAGATGTTTAGAGCACAGAAAAGAGCCAGGTTGGGGGACAGAGCAAGGATTCGAGTCTTGACAACAAGCATTTCTGTGGGTTTTTCTGTTTTTTACTTCCTTTTATTATTATTATTATTTTTTTTTTTTTTTGCTTTCCTCTTAGGGATTGTGGACCTTGCATACCCTCTGACTACGGCTCTATAAGAGAAAGTCAAGCTGGGTTGGGATGAGGTGCACAAGAGAAGGGCTAGCTATGCTTTGGAAGTGCAGGGAACTGATCATAAGAAACTTAGGGAACATTTGTAAGTGCCTTTCCACCACTGTTTTTGATGCATTTTGAATGTGGTGTTGGGGCGCAGGGGTGGAAGAGGAGAGTGGGTGGGTGGGGCTGCAGAGGGTGAGGTCAGGATTAGTGAGCGAGCATGCACCCAGCAGGAACTTGTCAGGGGAGCCAAGGTGACGCCAGGTTGGGGATTACACATTGAGCTGGCCTCTTTGGAGGCGTTAGAAGCTTTCTCGCCTGTATTTCTGCTTTCGAATGCTTGACAATAGAGACATAGTCCACCTGCCGAAGTGAGGAACTGACTTTATATCAGTTGCTGAGTTGAGCACGAGTCACAAAGTAAGCACTTGATGAAAAACCCCCAGGATTGTGAAAGTTCGGACTCGTCTCACCATCTAATCTCTACCGGCAGATGAACATCTACTCTACATCTATATGCTTACCCTCTCTATTTGTCTAATGCGTACTAAGTATCAACAAGCTCACCAACCCAGCACATCACGGAACCCTCGCAGGAGCCTGTGAGCAAGAAAGGCAAAGCACATTGTCCCCAGTGTTCCAAGGAACAATAATGGAGCGATGTACCGTGCTTGAGGACATGCAGCCAGTGAGTGGTAGCACCAGCCCACTTACTCTCCCTTCTCCTTGTCCTCCTGACTCTCAACTGAGGCATTTCCTTTCCTTCTTACCCTTTGCACAAGGGGGTGCTCTGGCAGAACCCGCCTCTCTGTCAGCCCCCCATCTCAGTCTACAGCACCTGGGGAGTCTTTGAAGAAAGAGGCTGATGATCAGCCAATGAACGTGAAGCAAGCTGATGGAGAACATAGGCGCTGCCCACACAGCAGGACTCCGTAATGGAATTGGAATTGGCCAAACAACTCCATCTCATTGCTAGAGGTCCTGAGGAAGTGAGCTCTGCCAGGCATGCAACCTATGCCCCTCCTTGCTTTCTATGCAGCTGCTCCCAGCATTCCCCATCTCTCTACCCACCTACCATTTCAACTGTGCTTCTGTGTTTCTTTCTGCGTATACATGGGTATGTGTACATGCAACCACCTGAGAAAATGTGTAGTGCCGTGTCTGTCGGTGTGAATCTATATCGGTATGTATGGAAGTGTGCTGACACTAATGCGTGTATCCCTGTGAAACCGTGGCTTATGTGTGCGTGTGCTTGTGTGCACATGTGGGTGTATGCCGAATCTGTGTGTAAGTGCATGGCTGCATATCTGTGTTTCTCCAATTGGAATGAGTGTGAAAGGAAATATGCCAGGAAAATCTATGAAGTCCCTGTTAGTGGCCTTTGTAAAACCACCAGAATTCCCTTGACTTCTTCCCACATAGAAGGGCCCTACTTGACCAGGCTTGTTAACTGACTGTTTCTTTCCAATTCCCTGTTCCAGGGAGTGGCGTCTGTTAGCTCCCATTCACTCCTTGCCGCTTTCTTATACCTCTTTGTGCTGTCTCCTGGACAGAAGAACCAGAGGAAATGAATGTAGTCCTAAGAACTGGTAATTTAGTGCCTTGGGGGAGAGAGCGCTCAATCACACAGAGATTGAGGTTGAAAGGAGAGCAGTGACCCCACGTCTGAAGCTCCCAAAATGGCTCTTGAAAGGCTAGCTTCCAGGATTGGTTGACTAGGATTTGGGTTTCCTGAAGGGGCTTTGATTCCTGTGTGGAGCAAGTAGTTCATTTGGGATGAAGTCGTAAAGAGAGATTGGTGCAGTGGGAACCCAAAGAAGAAGAAAAGCAGAGGCCAGTTGTAAATATCGCTATACATCTGCATAGCTAGATATATTATATATTTAAAAAGAGTATCTTGCCCTAAAGTGCTGCAATGAGAGCAGTTGAACTCTACTGCGACTCATTTCTGTAGGTTGTGTCAAGGTGAGGTGGAGGTTTGGCAATGACATCTTTTAAGGAACTTGAGCTTTTGAGTTTGCCATGAATTTGGTCGTTTTTGCCTGAAAGTTGCCAGATCTTCCCTTGTCGAGTCCTGTGTGTGGTCCGTCATCTGCATTTGTGAGCTCCATCCTCAGCTGTCCTCAGCCCCTCCTCTGTCTTCCCCAGCCTGCAGCCACCCCCCCCCCCCCAAGCTGGCTACCTCTGTTCCCTCCCTCTCCTTGCCTCTCACCAAGTAACTCTGGAAGGGCAGAGCGCTTGGTAATCTGGAGCTTGGATGGTGTCTGGGATGGAACAACCCTCAGTCACTCCTCTACCCACCTTTCCTTTCTGTCCCTCTCATCCATCCACTTTCCCCCTGGAATCCCTTCCTTGCCCCTACCACAGGAAGGATGTTCCTTGTCTGTCTTTCCGAAGCGTCATTTTGTTGTGGGGTAGGTGACACGTTTCCTACCAAGTTCTTGCTCGTTCCATCTGCCACTGTGGGGTGCCTTTGCACAGGTCACGAACAATCCGGTGGGTCCTAACAGAGCTTGTCCAATGTATTCTTAAACTTTGTGCCACCTTGTTAATAGCAGAGCTGCAACGTCTTTGCATATTTAGAACTGAGTTTTGCTGAGACTGTGGCGGTTCCAAATGAGGTTTCCTCCCTCTGTATATAGAGCTGCTAACCCTTTAAGCTATTAACTAATGAATGCATTCACCAAGCTACCCACCTGCATGGTACCCTGCTGTGGTAATGAGTAGTAACTTCCTAGCTATCTCATAGCCCAGCATCAAAGGAAATCGTGGTTCATCCTACTAAAAGTGTAGTGTGCTCGTGTTTGTTCCTTAGTGTACTGTGATCAATATGAAATCTATATTATCAACACTGGGTCTTCAGGGAAGGGAGGGAGGGGGTGTTAACGTATCTTCTTAATAATCTTAAATTATGAAGTAGCGCCGTTGGTCAGGGTCACCTTTATTGACTGAATTTGTGGAAGATTCTGCACTGCCATCTTGCCGGACTGCATGCTCAGAGTCAGCAGTCATCCGCAGTGCTGAAAGTGCCCAAGTTGAGCACAACTGGCCGTGGTGCCTGACATCAGGCAGTACAGGGGGATTTTTCAGGGGGCAGCCAAGTCAGTGGCATTCCAGAAGCAAATGAAATACGAAAAATCGCACACATGCAGATCTTCAAGAGTGGTGGTGAAAACCAAGAAAAGAGGAGAAGAGGTAAGACCCAAGTGTACTGGATGTCCTAACCTGAGATGGCTGGGTGCCCTCTTTGCCCTCATGAAATACACATCTTTGCACGAAAAAGACCTTGACCAGTCTGGATTTCACAAAAGTAAAACAGAAAGAAATTTAAAGTTATGTTTCTGAAATGTATACTGAAATAAAAGGTTGTAAATAGCCAAAGGGGAAAAATAAATAAAAATAAATAAATAAAAGAGCAAATGCCTTGCTGTGTCACTGTGTTTCTTTTCTAGTAGATTAGAAGGCGCTTGCACAGGACGTCTATCTGGGACCAGGAAACCTCGGGCATCTGTCACTCGTCATGGCCTTCCCTTGGCTTTGCACATGGAGCCCCTCATACCACGGAACATATGCAGCCATGACTTTCAAGGGGAGGGGAATTCGCCACAGCACACTTGAAATTAGTTCACACTTTTGCACAAGCCACTCTTAATCATTTGAAACAAAATAATTTAAACGCAGCAAACCATTGTGGTGCCCAAATGCAAGGTGGACATTTTGTTCCATTTTATGGAGGGTGGGGTGGGGAAAGCGATCTTTATAAAGAACCACGTCGCTTTAAAAATCTCTTTGGTTGGTGCCAGTGTGCAGAATAGAGAGCAAGAAAGCCTTGTAGGGGTGGGAAGAGAAAGGGCTTGGGCTTAGAACATTTGCAGAGTCACATCCAAACGTCCTATGGTGGTGCAGAGGGTCCTTGCTATGACCCACACCTCAGTGCGTCACCAAACATCTTTTATGAAAACCTTGGTGTTGCAACAGAAACCTACTTCCAAGTACTCTTCCTCTGGGGTCTCCTTTGTGCAGGGGCTGCTTTACCCATGGCTGCAAGCTGTAACACATATGACAGAAAAGTTTCACCGATACCAACTTCCCCACGTTCTCTTACCCAGCAACCCCTGGCAACACGCCTTGTTCGCTTGGCCCTCCCTGATCTTCCTCACTGGACTCAGGTTCCAAACTCTACTTGCCCACTAATAACCCAACCCAATTCCTCAGTAACTGCAGGGAACCCTGTTAAAAAGCACATGCTCAGTGTCTCTCTCACCAAACA